AAGAGAGATGAGGAATCGAGTGCCAACAATGCCTGCTACATGTTATAGTTGGGACATTCATGACTATCCTGTTTGAGAACACAACGGAAAGTGGGTGAAGCTTCATTCCGATACTTAGATTGCTTACTGACTTCGTGATTTCACTATGCATTACGTTACTATTCAGGAAAAATATAATTAGGCTGTAGTAGCTAGCTTAGTTGAATATCACGCTTTTCCTAATGAGGTCTTATTTATTTTAGTGCTCCAAGTTCCTATGATGAGGTTGCCGATTCCGTCGAATTAACAACATAAAAACACAAATTCGTGACCAAAGGGGTCTGTAATTTCAACTATCCGTTCAATTGAGGTGTGCTATTGAAAATACTGAGATTCGGAATTAGGTGGGTGAAACCACCGAANTAATGTGCAAAAAACAGCACACAGAGCTTTGCTAGGAGCAAGTAATCAGAAAATTAGGTGGTCTTAGTCTGTACTCATTAAGGCATTGCTACTCAAGCAACTAACACGCGGTGGAAGAGCAGAGGGAATGAGACGAATTTTAGGGTCCCGTACATCACGGATTTTAAAAAGATCTCTTACCTGAAGAAAGACAAAGTTGCGTTTGATTGTCTGATACACTTTTGGATCTTTCCAAACATCCCGATTGAGTAGGTGGCAATCAAAGCAGCCTTCGTCGTGTAGACTGACCAACAACCACCGGTTCTTCTCTCGTGCCGCAGCTTGTGCCTGGAACGCGATAAACAAGAAGAGAAGTTCATATAATTAATGTGATATTATGAATTTGACCGTTATGATTGACTTTATGGAAAAGGGAATATTTTTCACAACGGAAAGTATTAAAAATGTATCCTTGACTTCACCTGAGCTGCAGTCCGTCGGAGCGGCAGTCGATAGGAAAAACAACTTTCAGACATCGGGGTCGTTGACTGCCGTTCACTTTCACAACAGATTCACATGGAAGAAATCGCCGTAGTCGTCCACGGTCCACGGTCACTATATAACTACCTTTTCGTACTGAAAAGTATATACTACAACGATTCATAGTCGATCCCATTCACCCCGTATTCCCGTGGGTTTTTTTTATTTATCTTCGAGAACATAACCTACAAATCTCGACACTAGAGACTACCTCTGTCGTCCGTTCACACGACGGAGAAACGCATCTACACCTGAGTGCCAACAATGTAACGGGCGCAATGCTTTTGGAACCACCAGCCAGTCTCTAAGGTGACACAGCTCATCATGAAGCACGGTGATACTACTGTGGGGAGTTGCATGGTCAATGAGCAAACCATGCATAATTATTCCAAAAGCTGCAGGGATGGATCGGTGATCGTGGCACTTCGGACCTGTGGTTAACGCTGTTCTGGTACGGCTCGCTTGAAGCTCATACCTTAGTAACTCTATTCATTCATCGGGCTTAATACTGTGGCCCGTGATAGTATCTGTCAAGAACGAATTTGCTTTACTCATAGTGCAATCCGTAACTTTGAAAACCGTATCAGCGTCAACTGCATTCCAATTGACAATCGATGCAGTGGTTTGCAATAACGGTTATGGGAAGATTTCTATCTGCAAATATATTTTTATTTCTTTTATTAAATACACAATGATGCATTTTTCAGGAACAGGGAGGCGATCAATCAAAGAGCTGCCATATAACAAACAGTAGGNAGGCGATGGTGGTGGGATGCGAACACACTTCCTCCGGGGCGACGTGATGAATTTAACATCACCGCCACATGGTAAGGTGTCCAAAAGTCTACCCGTAATTTCTCCTAGTGGTTAGCTTAACCTAGCGGGACCGTAGGTGGTTCGCCACTCAAAGTTCAGGGCTTAGGTTACTGGTTTCCATCACTGAACAGCAGGTCCTCGTGACCATAGAGTTCGCCCCGTCTGTTGTTCATCACACTTGGGTGTAATAAAAAAAAATTTGCTCACAAATGGTTAACAGTTTATTTTTATAATCCAGTGGATATCCAATCTGCAGAAGCACCACACCTAGGCCATGTGAACTGCTAGCGCACAACAGTGCTGTTTATATTCGGAGCTCCACAGACGTCATGGCTACAATGGCAACTTAAATCACTTGGTCTGTTGGTTTATCCACCTTAGTTAAACGCCATTCATATACAGCGATGGTATTTTACATCTGAATGCACACAGAGTGCGACCCGCTCGGAGCACAACGGACATCAAGGATTCATTCAAGGATTTCCAGTATCAGTCCTGGTTTGCCAGTGAAAACAATAAAATTTTCTTCTGGGTGTCAGATTAATTTCCAGTTGCATATCATCTGCGAGCAACGAAGAACAGTTCACAATCATCTTATTTTGTGAGCTGTTTTAGTAATTGATGGCCCGGTCTAGTGTAGGCATTGTTTGAGCATGAGGACTGGTCTCTGAACAGTCAAGCGTGAACTACAAGGATGTAGGGTTACCCTAGATGAGTCGATGGCCTGTTTGTTTTCGCTCTGCCTTAGGACGCGTTATTTCCTCTTTATAACAATGACCTAACACCCATCTAAAAAGACTGTTACATCCTCGCAGATGATAGCAGGGCGGAACTTGTAGAGGAAATACGGAAAACAGTAAAGTGGACACAAAAAGAGCATGCCACTAAACCTATGCAAGTAGTACTTACTAACAGACAGAAAGGCTGCTTGCAAACACCCCGGGGTGCAAAATTACGATTGGTACAGCTATCGCTGTGCGCTGTGGGTAAACCCCATAATCCAAAAATATAGTGTACTTCGTAAGGTAAGGGGAACATTCAAGTTGGAACCAGCTTGTTGATTCTGTTGTAAAGTAAACGGGAGACTGAAAGAAGGTGTTCTGCAGTTGTGCTGTTCATGGGAAAAAGATGATGGAGTTAAAAACGCAAAACCTGGGGATAGTCACTTGAAATGGGTGGCAAGCCGCTTGTGTGGAGGACCTACGACGAAGAACAAGTGGGAGAAGAACAGAAGAGACAACCTCAGTAGAGCAAAATCTAAAGTAGCAGCAGTAGAATAACCATAAGCGACTGTTCGAAGATGAACTAGTGACTGAAAGTTACATGTTAGGGACGGTCGCCGATGAGACGAATGGCCTTAAATTGAACCTGACCAAGAGAGGTGGATGAAGCACCCAACACATGACTGAAGCATTGAGGTGTAGGGTAAATCTGAGCTTTCTAAAGCGACAGGCCAATGGTGATCGGGAAACGGCTGG